CGCAATGCTTACTCTTGTCGGGGCCGTCTCGATCGGGATGGGGGAGTTTGATGAGATTGCAGGACTGGGCGTACTGCATGGCCTCCGCTGCGGATCGGTTCAGGGCCGTAAACTCACCAGGCCTGGTGCGGGATCGGGGATGGTTCTCACCCGATCGGTGTTCCGCCCGGCCGGCCGGTTTACGGGACGAAGACCCGACCTCCTGCGAGCGTTTTACGGCATTCGCCTCGCCGGCGTTGGCATAATCTGTGACCCTTCGAACGGCCTCCTCATATGTGGCCGGGGGGTGTAGAATGAAATCCTGGTACAAATAACCAGCCCGGAGGGAGATGTGAAGCATATGGGTGGCGGTCGCATCATCCATGGGCTCGACCTCCCCGACCGCCGCCTTCCATTTGACGAGGAAGTCGGTCAAGCTCTCCCCTTCAAGCTGCTTGGCCTTCTCCAGATACATATAAGACTTTCTCACCACCTTGGAAGTGATGAACTTCCTCACAAACTTGATCACCAAGGTGTCAAACTTGTCGATCGAGCCCGGCTGCAAGGTTCGGAACCATTCCGCCGCTCGACCGGTAAGCGTGGAATAAAAAGCCCTACACATTACGGCGTCTGATACGCCCTTCAGCATCATATTGCTGTAGAAGTCATTAACATGGACCTCGGGGTCCGTCCGGCCATCGTAACTCTTCTCTTCGGAGACCTTTAAATCAAGCGAGTAAGGCTGAGCCATCACTGCCGCTGTAAAAGGCGTCTGGTGTAAGGTCGATTGGTCGACCGGGGGTGTTGCAGGGTGCGCGTTTCTGAATTGCGCAAACTCCGCCTGGAGGTTGTAGAGCAATCCTCGGGTCTCGTTGAGCTCGGCGGCTTGGGCAGCTTGGGCTGCATCCCGAGCGCGTCGTCGTCGGTGAGATCTCGACCCGCTATGCCCGGATGAAGCCTCCTGGCTGGCTTCCTGCATCTGTACGTCTTCCTGCTGGCGGTTCGGGTCTTGGGGCCCCAAACGTTGCCGCATCTCCGGTCGAAGACGATCAAAAGCTGCCGCCCGGGCAACTTCTTCGGGGTCCTCCACTTGGGTGGGAACCTCGGCTGCTTGCTGGGCCTGCCGTGGTGCCTCCATCGCATCAGCACCCCCCGACCCCAACCGCGAACGAGCCGAGTGTCGAGCCCGGGAAGCGGGCTGATGCTGCGGCTCTACCTGTGCGGCCGGGTAAACTGGAAGGGCAGCGGCTGGAGCCGTGTACGCAGGCGTATATGGTGGATAGCCAACCGGGGGCGTGTAATACATCGGTTGGCCAGGCCAATACCCGTACGGCGGAGGTGGGACCGGGTATGGATACTGGCCGGGATACATCATCGGCTGTTGTGGATATGGCTGACCGGGTGTTGGGTACCCCGGTTGAATGTAGTTCACCGGCTGTTGGGTGGCCGGGTATGTGTTGGATGGATGTGGTGGTGAGAGATTGAGGTTGAGGTCCATGGTCTGACCTTGTTGTTGCGTTGCCTGGTGGTCGGATGAACTGGCTGCATCCGCCTGGTCGTCAGCAAAAAGGTTTTGTGCCCACGGATACATTGTTGATGAAGGACCGGGTGCTCGTCAAGACGTTTGCTTTCTTGCACGGTTCCCCACAGACGGCGCCAAAATGATACTGCTAATTACTACGTAAGCAATAATTAAACAAACACGAGACCAAATAAAGCAAGTAAATATCTTTATTGATCACGGTGAAGGCCCTAAGTACAATCTACTTGGTTGCTCTGAGTACCGACTAACTGCGGTCGGGATGCTCTAACAACAACTTATCGATCGTCCAAAAGTCCCTCACACTGTAGCTACTGTGGGTATTTATAGCCGCTGCGCCGGAGACACAAATCCGGTCGTTCGGCATGCTCTCCACGTAGCCACCACGTGTCATCCTCCCGGGCGCCTGTCTGTCGTCGTAAGGAACCGCCACGTGTCCTTTGTCAGCTCTCTCGCCAAAGGGCTACCGCTCGGTGGTCGACACTGCCGCTCGGGCAACTCCCGGTCGGACCCCGACCGGGTTCTTCACAAGAAGCCCGACCTGTTACCTGCAAAGACAATAAGAAAAAGACAAAGGCAGACTAGCTGGGGTAAAATAATGTCGGTCGGGATATTCCCTACCAACCCGGAATTGAAAAATCTTGGTGTGACATGAGAAAAAATGTGAGCTTTTGGTGAGCTAAGGAAAAGGCATGAGGGGTAGTAAAGGAGAAGAAAAGAAAAAGTCAAAAGAAAAGAGCCAAAAAGAGACAAATGGCCACCCTTATGAGAGGAAAGCCATCTTGTTAGGATTTTGGGCAATCATTGCACTGCCTTTGAAAAAACGTAGAGCTCTACGTGAAGTCGGTTGTCCCAATGACGTTATCCTAGGAGATGAGAAAACAAGAGAGGAGGTGAGCCACCCTGCTAGGATTCGGGTACCCATTGCATTGTTTTCGAAAAGGCGTGGAGCTCCACGTGAAGTTGGGTCACTCGATGACGTTATTCTAGGGGGTTGAGAAGAAAAGAGAGTCACGCTAAGCCAAAATGCATGGAGAGGCCCATGTCATACCTTCACATTACTTTACATGTCGGTTCTTTTGGGCCGGTTTTGAGGCAAACTTGCACACATAGTTCCCACTAGTTGGCTCAGCCTTGCAAGGCCCTCGAGGATTGGATGATTTGAAGTAAGAGAAGGAGAAAAGAACAAAAAGAAAGAAAGAAAGAAAGAAAAAATAGGGAAAGAAGAAGAATTCTTTGCAATTGCTTGCTTGGCATAAAAAATTTGTGTGAGAAGTGTGTCCCTTGGTACTTTTTTTGTGACCTGGTGGGGCTTGCTTGGCATAAAAAAAGTTGTGTGTGAGAAGGATGTCATTCATTAGATTCTTGTGCTTTACTTTGCATTAATTGGCCATGTTAAGTATCTTCTAAAGCTATCTTTTGGCACTCATGCTTTGATTTGATTGATGACTTGCTTGAGGGCAAAGAATGTTAAAAGTGTAGAAACGTTTGATAAGTGCCAAAAGATGCTTACTTTTGAAAGCCAATATGAGAATATTTTGCACTAAATTGAAGATTACGTTTGCTAAACAAGAGATAATTGGGTGTGAATCACTTTAGAAGATGTATTTGGAATGGGGGAGGATAAATTGCTATGATCTACATGATTGGTGAAGCTAAAATGGAGGAAACATAGAGCAAACTTGAAGATTGGACAGTAGAGCTTCCACCACGATCGTGGTGAAACTTCTGCATACTGTCACGTGGGCTACCACGGTCGTGGTGGAGGAAGGGGCGACGAGTAAGTGGCATCCGCCATGATCATGATCATGGACCACGAGAAGGGAATTCCAGCTTTCAAGGGCGATTTTCAACAGTATAAATAAGGGGTTTTTCAAGATTTTTGGGAGAGACAACAACTTACATTAAAGTTCTTCATCTTCTAGAGAGAGCGAGTGTGTGTGTGTGTGTGTGTGTGTGTGTTAGGGCTGGAGAGAATTGACAAATCTCTTGTGGATTGAATCTTGGTAACTCTCTATCTTTCATCTCTTAATTTCTATTTAATATTTCCTATATTGCATCTTGATTTCAATTCACTTGTGATTTCAATTTTCAATTTAAGACAATGTGTGGCTAGATCATCTAGGAATTGGATATGATTGCCTTGAGACTATGCATTCTTGACCTTTAATTGTTGAAATTGATAAGATGTTATGTGAAGTTTTGATTATTTCTCCATTGATGGCCACAATGAGTAAGGATTGTGAGAGAGTGAAATTGGTAAGAGATTGTGATTCCACGTAGTTTAATTTTACTCATTTATAATTCTCGTTCTAGATTCGAGAGGGAAAGACCCAGAATGAGTCGTAGGCTAGATGTTCGATGAAATGCCTTAGCCAAAATACCAGTATGAGAGTCTAAGTATGTATCGGCTTAGTGTTTGCAATGCGATCTCCCAAAAGCTAGTCACTCTTTGCACTACTCCGAGTCTACTTCGTCGAATGAATGCATAGGATCAAGAGCTATCTATCCAATTTCCCGTTTTTACTTGCTTCAAATTTACCTTTACTTTAATGCTTTGCACTCTCGATTCAAACACTTGCAAATGCTATTCTTTTACCTAGATGCTTCTTATTAGTCCATCCATTACTTGTGGTTGCCTTGCACTTCACTTACTCGAAGTTGCCATCCTCTTGAGAACGACATTCCTGGGAAATCACATTTCCCAACCTACTTTCCATCCAACGCTAAACTTCAAGATTGCCAGCCGTTCTATTAAAAGTTGGGGCCCTGTCTAATAGTTTAATTTGGACTTTCGTTATTTTTGTTTCGAGATGCAATCTAAATATAATAGAATAAAACTAGAGAGACAAAGGGAGATGGATTTTTTTAACATTTAAATTTTGCTATAATGATACATAGAAATATTTATTTATAAAGGTAAGAAGCATAATCCCATGAAGATAAATATAGAAGTCTAGAAGATCTAGAAAATCTGTATAACCGATAATTGAGTCCAAATTCATTTCTACTTCAAGTTATTGTATTCGATAACAAAAATAAAAAAATGTAATAATTTTTTTTTGTCCAAATATAATGTATAAAAATTCAACAAAGAAAAAAATACAATTCAAAAGTGACATTTTTTGTGCATATTTAAATACAAAATTATTCACCAAAATTTCGATATCAATTTTTCTAAAATTTTATTTTCAAATACAATTAGAGCCAATCTATGAATTCTAAAAAATAAATATCAGCTATAAATATTATATATTATATAAAAAATATTTTTAAAAAATTGGACCCTTACCCCAAAAATCGGGGGCTATGTGTTGTCGCCCTGACCGCACATGATCAGAGCCGGCCCTGTTTGCGAGCAATTATTATCAATCTAATTATAATTATTGCAATAAGTAAAGGCATCCAACTTGTTACTATAAACTTAAATCAAATGGAAAAAAGAGAAGTAGGTAAATGATAAAGTTTGACTTCATATATCAAGAGAATTGTGTCTATGAAGGAATTTCATCAAACACATAACAAGCATTTTGACTCTATCTATTAATTAATTATACACAAAAAATAATATAAACAATTTTCTCCAAGGGAAAAAAAACATAAAAATAAAAAGGCATTATAGAGTGTCTTCTTCAACTCTTCAAGAGTATGTATGCTAAGCTACTTATAATTTGAGACATTGAAAACGCAATATTGCTTTTCGGCAGGCAATTTGCACAATTCAGTTTGTATGTATTTATGGTTTTCATTGATCGGCGCCGGCGCCCACGGCAGCACCGCGCGGCGAGCCCGTCTTGTGCCCGGGCTCAGCGTCGGCGGCTAGCAGAGCTCCGCTGTTCTTCCTGGAGGTGCTCTTGGTGAGATGATTGTAACAGCCCTTCTCCTTGAAGAGCTGAGAGAAGTGGGGCTTGCAGTAGAGTAGGCCGTCCAGTGCAGCGTAGGATGAGGTTGTGAGCTTGCACCCTCCATGGGCGCACTTGAAGCAGTTCTGGTGATAGAAATCTCCGTCCACCGTCACCTGCATGTCCTCATTGTTTCAAGTGATGATGAGTACACTAATTGAGGATAAAATTATAAACTAAGGGTGACAATTTTTTTTTTGTTGTTGTTGATATGGGAATAGGGACGAGGATGGGGATGGAGTTGTATTAATCTCGGGAGATGGAGATGGTGATGAGAAATCCGCAGTCACTATGCGAGGGCGTGAACTGGATAAATTCCGCTTTGTGATCATAACGGGCAAAGAACTATACAAGGAGATAAACCAACTTAGGTTGCCCATAACTGACCAACTCAAATTAAGAAGGTTGGAATTTGAACTCCTAACCTTGTATTTACCAGTCTGTATCCTTAGCCATCTTGGCTGGAGTTACCTCCAGAGAATTACTATTGAAGTGCCATTTTTACATTTGTCACTGACTTTCAAAAGTAGCAATTTAGGCACATGATTACTATTCTCCCCGTCCCTAATTGATTGTCTCATTTGCTTTTTGCATAGTTTTTAATACAACATAATAAATGTTATTAATTTTCTAATTTTGCCCCTCAAAAGTAAGTGTTATTTGTACAAAATACAATCGTACTTACCTCATTAATTGTCTAGAAATTTGAAAAGTCAAAAGGTTAAATTAGGAAATGTAGAATTATAATTATGCTCAATTTTGAAAATAGGACACTATTTTAGGACAAACGAAAAAGGAAAGTAAGACACATAAAATGGAACGAAGGGAGTCTTTTTTAATACTCCGTAATAAATTTGGATTTTCAGGTGTCAAAAGACCTTTTGGTCTAGCGGTATAACTGTAACTCAGGTCTAGTGTAGGGACATTGACTCTATGTGCTTCGTTAGATTTATTATTGTGGGACCAAAATTATTAAAAACTTGAAAATAGCTATATGATAAGGGCTAACCTTCTCCAAGGGGTAAACAGTTTTCTTGCAGGCTGCACACTTTTCTTGGGTGCCAGAAAACATAGAAGATAGTTTGCTAGGGGTCCTTGTCTGCAATAATAAGATATAAATGTATGTAAATATATATTATTACCCGATATATGTGACATTCTTTTTTTTTTTTTTTTTTTGAGTACATATGTGTGACATGTTCTAATTCATCTACTATTACAATCTCACAAACTAGTCAATCACATATGTTAGATGATTAGTTGTATATATGGTTGAAAAGAAATATAAAAGAAGAGCAATCGAGGAAGCAAAAAATATCACTTGGCTGAGTTGGATGCCGACTCAACCTAGCTAGGTGGACTTAGGCACCTAAGACGCCTAGTCAGCCGATTAGTCAACCAATCAACTGGAAGCCACCTAGGACTGAAATTGCCTCAACCTAGGGGCGCTTAGTGCCTAGTCAGTACCTAAGCTGATTTTTACAACACTTAAAATCATGATATGCGATAAAAATTTTACAGGAATCTATATATTAATTTTTATTTTTTTTTAAAAAAGAGTTAAATGGTGGAGTTTGTTTACCAGTTCGGGTTGCTTCCCAACTTCTCATCCACCCACCAAAAAAAAAAAAAAAGAAAAAAAAAAAAAGATTAGGCACATGCATAAACAATGTAAACAAAATTGAATAAATTTTGTTAATAAAATAGAATATACTCCGTAATATATTATATATTCACCGTAAAAATAAAAATAAAACAATTAACAATATTCTAATGTGCTGATTAGCATCAATGTGTTGGGGTAAGAAAATGATGGAGAAAACTAACATGATTGAGACCTTACAGAGACCCCTTTCTCTTTAAGGATTTGTTCAAAATGAGGCTTACAATACAACACTCCTTCCATGGAGGAATAATTGCTCAACTGCACCCAATAAAATCACCATCATTTTATTAATTATAATCTCAAAATTTGCAGGGAAAAAAATAATAACATATCGAGTAAATAAAAGAATCAGATCTTATCGAACATCATACCGATAGCCGTCCGTTGCAGTGGGTGCACCTGAAACAAGTGTTGTGATAAGGAACGCCACCGGGAGCTACCATCTCCGCAATGTAAACGGTTTTGTCACAAGCCTTGCATTTTTGCGTGGTTCCACTATTATAAGCCGACATCCTTACAGAATCTTAACTTATTGCTCAACTAATCAGATCAAAATGCGAGTAACGAAACGAATTTGAAACTCCTTTATTAATTTATTCCGCAATAGCTTAAGAAATGGAGTTTCAATGATACAAATGCCCAGCAATGCAATGCTTAATGGCATTTTTCAGATGAATTAGTTTGCTGTGTGTTTCTGGATGGGATTGAATTTAGGACATACATGCAATGATAGACATATGATGATATTGAAACATGTGGAAATGCTTCAATGTTTCATGCTATTTTCATGGCACATTTTATGGGTTTTAACATTGGAATATGTCTGTATTGACACTTGCCATACTTGTCCCTTCACATATTTAATTTAGATACATGCATTTATGCTTCATAAATCATAATATAAATATCAATAAGTATTCAGTATTTTTCTATAATGTTACGGGTAAAAATGTTGCCTACGTAAATAAAAATGATTGTGTTCATAATTTTTTGGGGTTCCCGATAGGTTCAAGGTCTCAATCTATAATAATCCTAGACCATATTCTGACCACCTCATTCATTGTCCTTTTAGGACTCAATTCAATTCAAAGAGGGCGGTGAATACATTATACATGTATCACACAGAACTCCTATCGTTAGAAAGAGAGAGCTTAGCAAGCTTGTTGGCGATTTTGTTTTGTTCTCTATAGATATATATGCTCTAAGCTAGGCTCACATCCCATCACCTGGTAAACATTCGGTACGCATTACTGAAAATTATGAAATTTCCGACCACCTGAAAGTGATCTTAAATCAAATCGAAAGTCTTGTTCCGACCACTTTTAGTATCCGAAAAAACTTTTGTTGCTATTTCCTACCACATTTTTAGTTTCAACTTGATTTAAGATCACTTTCAGGTGGTCGGAAATTCCATAATTTCTAGTAGTGGGTAGCACTCATTGAGAATATTTAGTATTAGACTCCTCATTCCTTTATTTTTCAAGAGTTTAATCGTCTTAGGCTCTTAGCATAATTTATCTCTATAATAGTCTTCCAAAATCTCTTATCCTAATTAAGTAAGTTATAAACCTTTTAATATGCCTCCATAACATCGTAAAGTTTTTACTATAATTATTATACATATTTGAATAATTGGCCGGATAATAAAATATCATTGGATATATTATGTAATAGTAGGAAAAAGAGATTAAAATTATTAATTTGTATGTAAATAAACAATTAAATAAAATACATGATGGGGTGAGGACCCCGGGCCAAGGTATGGGGGCCCAAAGAAAATAGATAGGAGAAGTGGGCCAGCGTCGAGAGGAGCCCGAAGAACAATTGGGCCGAGTCCGGGAGTCGGCCCAGGCCCAAGCATGGGGCCCAGTTCCGAGCTGCCAAGAGGAGTCCAGTAGGAGCTTAGGCCGAGACAAGGAGTCGACCGAGGCCCAAGCCCAGGAAAGGACTCGGCTCAAGGAGCCGTTGAGAGCATTGAAGAGGCTCATTTAAAAAGGGAGCCGTTGAGGCATTGAAAGCCGGACATGGTCAGGCCGTTACAAGCTTGGGAGAGCCGTTGGTCGACCGAGTAATGGCATCCAACGGCTCCGTATCTTAATTAGCCATGAAGTCGGCCATCAAAGGCCTTCAAGTCGGTAGAGGGGGAGCCACTATATAAAGGCTCCTCCATTCTTGTAAAAAGGGGGACAATTGAACACCCAAAGAGGGGAGAATACCAAAAGAGTTCCGAGTACTAGCATAATCTCCGAAATAGACATACACTTTATCGAAAGGTGCACCCACCAGCCGAAGGTTGTGTTGGACCTCCTTGGGCCCGAAAACCCTAAAACCATCACTGGCGCCGTCTGTGGGGATTGAAACTAAGAGTCACGTGTCCTCTTGAGTGAGGCGAGTCCGAGGAACAACGATTAGAATCCCAGTCGAATTAGAAAAGTGCCAGACATGGCAGGAAGTGAAGAACAATCGAGTCGTCATGACAATGGACGGGAAGCAGACCTGAGAAGCTAGCTGAATCGGAGAAACGCCCGGAGCCGGGAAAACGAGACAACGCCGCCGCCGACACCACCGATAAACCAACAATTGCCCCAAGTGCTGCTCACCCCAGAGCAGCTGCGTGCAATCGGACGCGCCTGTGCCGAAGCAAGCCTAGGAGTGAGAGAACAGTCCATCACTCGCCAGCCGCAACGCGAGTTACAGCCGCTTCATAGGCCCGACAACCGGCAACAGAGCCGATGGGCCGAAAGCCAACCGGTACAGTCCGTTCATTCTCGGCTGGGTCCCGGCGTTGGGCGTCGGTCGGCAAGAGAACGATTGGGTCGGATGGAACTCAGTCATGCCCCGTTAGCCGCTCGCCATCGACAAACTGCATGAGAGAAGAACCGTACCAAAAGAGCCAGGACTGAGACTCGTCGCGTGGAGCAACCTCCACGCAACCCCGACCAACCGGCTGAGTCTGAAATCGGCGAGAGCACGGAATCCACAGGAAATCGCACCCGGGAGAGGGTCGAAGTGGCGAACTTAGTGCAAGAAGTGCGAAATCTGAAAGAACATATGGAGGGGAAAACCAAGTCCCCAGGACGTACGTTACTGACCGCCTTACCCTTCTCGGATGAGGTTATGGCTTTTAAAATACCGGGTGATTTCAAGTTCCCGGAGCAGGCCACGTTCGATGGAACCGGCGATCCCCGGGAGCATTTGCTGAGCTACCAGGCTAAGATGCAGGTTTTGGGGGTACGAGATCCGATCATGTGCCGCGCCTTCTTGCCCACGTTGAAAGGGTCAGCACAAAGGTGGCTAGTGGCACAGCCCTCGGGATCGATTCACAACTTTGAAGAGCTGGCAGACCGCTTCATGAGCCATTACGCCGCTAATATCAAGCCGCAAAAGGACCTAACACACTTGGGTGACATTCGTCAAGACGAAGGCGAGTCCTTGAAAACCTATCTGGCCCGCTGGCAGAAAGAAATCCAGTCCATAGAAGAGGTCGAGGACCAGACGGCGCTCACCTTCTTCATCGAATCGCTGCGGTCCGGCCAGCTGTACCGAGACCTGAGGGACAATCGTCCGGCCACCTACGCAGAGGCCATTCATATGGCCAACAAGAGGGCCAACACAGAGCAGGCTATGAAGTACAAGCGACAGCGAGAAGTCGGCGGATCCGCCAGCGGGAAGAGGACGCGAGCGGAAACCAAAGAAAGGCGCCCGGACGTGACTCGGCGACCCGAGGTCAGACGGCCGTACGACAGACCCGTCGTCCACGCTTATCGGCCGATTCCCGAACGTCCGGTCCATGAGATACAAATGGTCGCCCCGCCTCTGCCTCCACCGACCGACGATCGCCCGACGAACGAAGAAATGGGTAAGACCTCTAAGTATTGTCGTTATCATAAATCTTATACTCACAGCACGGAGGAATGCTTCTACCTGAAGAAAATCATGGAGGGTATCATTCAGCAAGGAACCCCACCTCCTAATCAGTGGAGGCGGAGATCGGTCCATCGAGGGGATGAGGATCCCGCCGCCGTTGCCGAGAATAGTCGAGGCAAGCAGCCGACTCCCGAGGAGGAGGAGGCTCAGTGGCGTCAGAAGCCCGTTATCAACATGATAGTCAGCGGGCCGGAAGGTGGTGACTCAACGAACACCAGAAAAGCCTGGGCCCGCCAGTTATACGTCAGAACGGTGTACGGGCGCGAGGAGAATCCTAAAAAGGAGTGCCGAGAGCCCATTGTGTTTACCGACTGAGATTTACCAGCCGGTGAAACACCGCATCGAGATGCCTTGGTTATAGCTATGGACATCAATGGCGTTGTCGTTCGACGAATCTTGGTGGACACCGGGAGCAGCGTCAATGTGCTGTACCTCGAAACCTTCATCAAAATGGGAATGACTCGGGAATAGCTGAGTCTTGTCAAAACTCCCCTCGCCGGTTTCACAGGGGACTCGGTGGAGGCGGAAGGATCGATCACACTTCCAGTTGAGATCGGCAATTACCCAGACATACAGAGACTCAGCATGAAGTTCATTGTGGTGAATCTGGCCTGTTCGCATAACACTATACTCGGCCGACCGGGTCTCGAGGATTTGGGAGCGTTGATTTCAATTGAGCATCTTTGCTTAAAATTCTGCACGCCAAACGGAATAGGCACGGTGCGCTGCGACCGTAAGGTCGCTCGCAATTGCTACCTACAGGCATGTAAGGGGATGGGCGAGCGCGAGATACAAGTCCATGAGATCACCGGGAGGCCCCCAAAAAGGACAATAATACCACGTTCGGAGCCTGCCGTCGAGTTGGAAGAAGTCGAGATCGACTCCACGCAGCCGGACCGACGAGTCCGAATTGGAGTCGGCCTCCCCGAGGAAGTAAAGGAAGAAATTATAAAGGTGCTCCGGGAACACCGGATGGTCTTTGCCTGGTGCCCGGAGGATATGCCAGGCGTCGACCGCTCGATCATATCGCACAGACTCGCTGTGGATCCCGGGCATCGACCGGTTGTGCAAAAGAAGCGATACCTGGCCAACGACCGAAGAGAATTTGTGAAGAAGGAAGTGAGCACACTACTCACGGCCGGACACGTCCGCGAAGTTAAGTACCCAGAGTGGTTGGCGAATGTGGTCCTTGTACCCAAGCCCCCGGCGTGGCGGATGTGCGTAGACTATACCGACCTTAATAAGGCCTGCCTAAAAGATCCGTTTCCCTTACCGCGGATCGATCAACTCGTCGACGAGACGGCGGGGTCGGCGCTGTTGAGCTTTATGGACGCCTTTAGGGGGTATCATCAGATATTCATGCACTCGGCGGACGAAGAAAAGACCGCGTTTCTGACACCGGACGGAGTTTATTGTTACCGAGTCATGCCGTTTGGGCTCAAGAACGCCGGAGCCACGTATACCCGAATGGTGGCCCGATTGTTTCAGCACCTGCTGGGAAAATCGATGGCCGCGTACGTCGACGACATGCTCGTCAAGAACCGAGAGGAGAGCAAACACGCAGAGGACTTGGCCGACTGCTTCAAGGTAATGTTAAGGTACAACCTCCGGCTGAACCCCAAGAAATGTGCGTTCGCCGTGCAGGGTGGAAAGTTCCTGGGTTACATGGTCACCAAGCGAGGTATCGAGCCTA